AGAATGATTTAAGTGCATCTCGGTAAATTGACCTTATGACATTTTTTTTTGTACATAATCATTTTAGTTTGCTTTTTTGCTTCCTACTTATTCACTCTCCTCCTTTCCCCGCTGTAATGTAATCACGTATTCCCTCTTACTCCTAATAGCATACTAAGTTACTAACAGAATGCTACCGTATCCTATACTAACCTCCTCTTACTAACTCAGCCCTAGCCCAACTTTTCTTTCTCCTTGAATACACTCTCCATATCCAAGGCTGTTCTTGCTGCTGACTCAGCACCTGCTCATTTTCTAAATTCTGGGCCCTATCACACAAGGTATTTGTTATAAATTTTCAAGAGAATAGAAAAACAGAGGCTGCTGAACGGAGAGCAAAAACTTATATTCTATGAGAAAGATAGAGCTTACAATCTTAAAACCAGAAAGATTACAATTTATAAAGCTTAAACAATAACTACCCAATAACAATATGGTCCTAGAAATAAGCCATGAACAGAACAGAGATAATAAAAAAAACTTCTAAAACATTCTAACTGACTCCGTAAGACTAGGAAAGCAACAACAAATAAAATAACAAAATCAGAATGTGGTTTCAGTTCTGAAGCATTTTCCTAACACTCCTCCTTGCTTTAGGAGCTGCAAACACCAATTTTTTTTCCTTAAAAGCTCGAACATACTGACCGAAAGTGGCTTTGTAAATAAATCCGCCAACTGATTTTCAGACTTGCAGTAAATCAAAGTCACACATTCCTTTGCTGCACTTCTCTTAGGAAGAACAACTTGATGTTGAAATGCTTAGTTTTCCCATGAAACATAGGATTATGGGAAATAGCAACAGTAGCTTGGTCGTCAACAAATATCTTAGTGCTTTCTTTCTACTCCAGATTCAGATCCAGTACAATCTTCCTCAACCATAAAGCTTGACTGACAGCAGCTGTTGCCGCAATGAATTCTGCTTCAGCAGTGGATTAAGCCACGATTTCTTGCTTCTTCGAACACCATGAGAAAACACTAGATCCAAGAGTAAAACAGTAGCTTGAAGTACTTCTCATATCATCAATGGAACCATCCCAGTCACTGTCAGAGAAACCAGTCAACTTAAATTCTTTGCTCCATGAGAACTTAACACCAAAATCACTCATTCCTTTGACATTGAATTATTCTCTTGGCAGCTCTAAGATGTAATTCGCTTGCACAATGCATAAACCTGGACAAAATGCTTACAACATTTAAAATATCAAGATGTGTTGCAGTAAGATACATCAAACAACCAATCAAACTTCTGATGTATCTCTCATCAACTTTATCAGCTCCATCTTCCTTACACAACTTCTCCTTTTGATTCATTGGAGTGCTTGCTTCTTTGCATTCTTCAAACTTAAACTTCTTCAAAATCTCCTTGGCATACTTCTTCTGGCAAATGAAGACTTCATACTCAGCTTGTTTAATTTCCATTCCAAGAAAAAAAAGGTCATTAACCCAAGATCTGTTATCTCAAAAACTTTCATTTCTTGTTTGAATTCTTCAACCATTCCTGCATTATTTCCTGTCACCAAAAGATCGTCAACATAAAGTGAAACTATCAGAACATCGTTGCTCTGCTGTTTAACATAAAGAGTGGCTTCAGACAAGCTTTTTTTTAAAATTGATGGTCAGTAAATGGTCATCTATCCTGCTGTACCAAGCTTATGGAGCTTGTTTCAACACATAAAGAGCCTTCTTGAGAAGATACACCTTGTCTTTTTCTTCATTCTTTACAAAACCATCAGGTTGTTCAACGTAAATTTTTTCATGCTAGACAACATTTAAAAATGATGATTTTAGATCAAGTTGATACACTTTCCAATTCATTTGAGCAGCTACAGCAAGCAAAATTCGTATGGTGTCCAAATGGGCAACTAGTGCGAAGGTGTCTGAGTAATTCACGCCAAAGATTTGAGCATAGCCTTTCACAACAAGTCTTGCCTTGTATTTGTTGATAGAACCATCGGCATTTAGCTTCATTCTGTACACCCATTTGGCATTTTGGCTCCAAATTACCTTCCTATCCTGGGGTCGATCAACCAATTCCCATGTTCTATTTTTCTCAATCATAGACAATTCTTCCTTCAGGGCAACCATCCAATTTTGATTTTTCTTTGCTGTTCCAAAATCTGCAGGTTCACAAACAGCAATGTTGCACCTCATAAATATGAGAGAGTAATCTAGTACCTCTTGCTGGAGCATCGTCTTCCAATTCATTCTGCGAATCCTTTTCTTCTAAAGTTCTTAAAGCAGGAAACTTAAATTGCAGATCTGCCACACTTTGATTCTTTTTCTTTGCCTCATCCCATTTCCATTCTTCATCTTCTATGAAGTGAACATCTTTGCTAACAACAATGCTTCCAATTTGTGGTTGAAAAATTTTATAGGCTTTGCTGATAGTTCTATAACCTATAAAAATGCCTGGTGATGCTCTTTTGTCAAGCTTGTCACACTTGCTTTGTGGAACATGAGTAAAACACAAACATCCGAATATTTTGAGAAAATTTAGAGATGGTTTATGACCATGCCAAGCCTCATATGGTGTCTGATCCTTGACTGTTGTTGTGAGGAGTCTATTTTGCAAGAAAACGACCGTATGTGCTACTTCTACCCAAAATTTATTTTGTAGATTCTTCTCATGCAACATGCATCTAGTCATCTCTAAGATGTATTTGTTTCTCCTTTCACTTACCCCATTCTGTTGTTGAGTATAGGGAGTGGTTAATTGATGCTCAATGCCAGCTTCCTCAAAAAATCGATTGAAGTTTTCTGATGTGTGCTCCTTGCTATTATCAGATATTAGAATCTGAATTTGGTTGCCACTTTGATTTTCTATTAATTTTTTGAACTTCCAGAAAGCTCCAGCCACTTCTGACTTGAATTTTAAGAAAAAAATCCAACACATTCTTGTGAAATCATCAATAAAGGCAACATAATATCGATTACCTGCTAATGAAGGGGTTCTTTGAGGTCCAGATATATCTGTGTGGATTATTTGCAACTTACAAGTGGCTCGTTTTGCTGGCTTAGGAAATGGCTTTCTTTTTTTCTTTCCAAGTAAACAAGTAGGTAGGTGATCATCAAGATCTGGAAAATCAGTTGCCATTCTCTTGGACTTCATTTGCAGCAACCCTTGGTGGTGATAATGCTCGAGCCTTTTGTGCCAAACTTATGTGATGTTTTCCTTGATTAAAAAAGCAGTTTGCTCTTCCTCCAATGGATTTAGAGCAAAGCTTTTCCCTTTCATTTTTATTTTAAAGATGTCCTAACTAGCTGCATCTCTAATCAGGCAAAAATTGTCTTCAAAAGTAACTTTAAAACCTCTTTCAATCAATTGGCCAACACAACAAATTTTGTTGAATTTCAAGTACAAAGAGGACATCAGGAATAAACTTAGTACTTGAGCAACTTGTTATGCAACATTCCCTTTTCCTTTGACTGATATGTAATCACCATTGCCTATTTTGACTTTGGTAATGTTGGTTGGCTTTAATTCTTTGAAAAGCTCCCTATCATTAGTCATATGATTGGTGCAACAACTGTCAATTAGCCAACTCTCATTGTCTTCGCTGCTTGTAAAACATGTGGCCACAAAAAGTTGATCCTCCTCCTCCTCGTGATCAGCTACCTTAGCTTCTTACTCTTGTTGATTTTTGCTCTTGCATATGACTGCTTCATGACCTATTTGATTGCATTTAATGCATTTAGCATCATGTCTCCGCCAACATCTGAATGGAGGGTGACCCATTTTGCCACAATGTTGGCAAGGTGGGTAACTTTTCTTTTCACCTTTTCCTTTGTTGTAATTATATGCATTACTCTGACTACTGGCTGGATGATTCCTTTTGTAGTTTTTAGCTTGTTGGCTCTTGGCTAGAAGGGAACCTTCAATAACATGATCTTCCCTCATCAATCTTCGTTGCTCTTGGGCCTGGAACGCATGTATCACCTCTGCAAAAGTGATTTTAGACAAATCCTTTGTGTTCTCCAACGAAGCAATAGATGCTTCGTACCACTCCGGCATCATTATTAGAATTTTTTCAACAATTCTGATTGCCCAATAACCTTATCTTGTTGGCAATACCCGACAATTTGTCGGAGTATTCCTTGATTGTGTCAGATTCATTCATCCTTTGAAGCTCAAATTCTCTCATTAGGTTAAACACATGCATGCTTCGAATTCTTTCGTCCCCAGCATATTCCTCCCTTAAATAATCTCAAATTGCTTTTGCAGATTTGAGTCATAATCCTAGTGAAGATGGTTGTAGAGACACCAGCAAAAAAGGCATGATTTTGCCTTTTCTTTTTGGGTTTTTCTTTCCTTGTGATTCTTGATCTGGGCCATGATGGGATTGTCCAACAGTGGAAGGATTTCATAATCTTCTTCTACAACTTCCCAAAGATCCAACGCTTCTAGGTAAGTTTCCATTTTGACAGCCCAAAGATCATAGTTATCCCCATTAAAAACTGGAAGTGCTGCTTGAGAAAAGCTCGTTTCAGAATCCATTCTAGGTCCCGTAAGGAAATGGGCTCTAGATACTAGATGTTATAAATTTTCAAGAGAATAGAAAAAGAGTTTGGTGAACGGAGAGCAAAAATTTATAATCAATGAGAAAGATAGAGCTTACAATCTTAAAACTAGAAAGATTACAATTTATAAAGCTTAAACAATAACTACCCACTAACAATATGTTCCTAGAAATAATCCACGGACAGAATAGAGATAATAAAAAAACTTCTAAAACATTTTAACTGACTCTGTAAGACTAGGAAAGCACAACAACAAATAAAATAACATAATCAGAATGTGGTTTCAGTCTTGAAGCATTTTCCTAACAGTATTAAGAGAAGACATGTATTGAGGAAGTGAAAACTTCAGGATTAACGACTAGAGTCAACTTGATGTTTAGCATGGTTTTAATCATGTGGTTATATCTCATGACAGAACCTCATTTTCTGCTTTGATTATGCAGTTGGTCGCAGCTCTTAGAGACCCTTCCTCTTCCAAATGTAAGGACACAGAACTTTGAATTATTAAAGGAGAACTTATATGGCTTATGCTTAGTTTTATATTCTAGGAATATGTATGATGCAGATTAAAAGCTTAGGTTTAAAAGCTCATTGTATAGTATAGTTTAAAAGCTCATTGTTAAAATGTATGATGCAGATTAAATGGATATGTCCAACTGCTCCTACTCAGCCAATATCTATATTTGGTGGCTTTCCGTCTACTGCTTGTAAGTTTTATTGTTTTTTGGCTCTTATTGGGGCCATCAACATCTAATGATTATGGTTAACACATTATAAACTGGCTTATGTGCTACAGCATAGAAGTTACATAATAGTCACATTGCATAGAAGTTGCCACATGGTGTATAGAAAAATGCATTTAAAGACAGAGCTAATGCTGTGGGTTTTAAATATTGTAGGAAGTAATAAACTTAAATTGGTCTTGACGAATTTCGTAACTGCAACTTTTACAGGGTTTGATGTTGGAGAGATTTCAGAAGATGCTCCTGATGATCTAGAAGGTTTGGATGCTTCAGCTGCACATGTTGCAAATTTGTTGTCTACAGAGCCTGCAGACAGTACGTTTCTCTTGCAATGTTTTTGTCAAATTTATGTTCCTTCTAGCTGCTTTAATTTTTAAATAAGAAATTTATTCTGTCAATGCCATGTTCTGTGACGTAATGCTTATTTTTATGCTAGGATGTCATAAAAATTAGAAGTTAATAATTGTACTCTAGCACAATTTTCTCTTATTCATGTCTTTTAGTTACTTGGGGAGCAAATTATCCTGGCATATGGTCTATGTTTCATCCAAGTAATCTAACAATCATGTATAAACTTGCAATCAAATGATAGAATAGAATAAAGAAATAGAAGAACATAATAGTAAATAGAAGGGGAAGAGCACCTTACATGCTTCTTTAGTATAATTATTAAATTCATGCTTGGCTTAGCTTATTTTAGTGAAATAATTGTTTTTTTTTTGCCAGCTTTCTAAGAGTTCTTTTGAAAAAATGTACCAAGTGTAAACTTCTGAATCTACATTGATATTTTAAAGCTGGATGACCTTGAAATCTCATCAAAGTAAAATTCAGTTTTTGAATGTGTTGGGAAAAAATATGCAAATATTTTCCACATAACTTATTTTGAGATCTACCAGGTTGTTAGCCACATTCCCCAATTAGGAACATAATTTAGAAGAAATGAGAATGGCCCACAGAGCCAAGTTCGCCAGCCTCTGTTAAAAGTTCCTAGAGTTAGTTAGCTCCCTAACTGTTCTAGTAGAGGAAGGATATAGAGGAATAAAACGTAAATGAATTCAATATTAACATGGTTGAATTTCTCAAAACCTTACAACATTTATGCTGTCAAAGGGAAGTGAATTTTTAATTAATTCTCCATAGGACCATAACTATCACTGTTTTTATTTTTCTTGGTTGTCTAGTTATTTTTGTCAACCGCAGGAAAAGCTATATGTATTGTAATAATTTCAAGTCTGTTATTTTGTATGACAGTTAAGCTTGGTGTTGGAGGGTTCAGCATGGGAGCAGCTACTGCCCTGTACTCCGCGTCCTGCTTTACTGCTGGAAAATATGGGAATGGCAATCCTTATCCAGCCAACCTAAGCGCAGTTGTTGGCTTAAGTGGCTGGCTTCCATGCTCAAAGTATGGCCTTCTGACTATTTTAACTCGTCATGTTAGTTTGGTTCACCCTTTGCCCCCCTTGCGTTTTATATTATAGGATGAAATTGTTATTTTTGTTCTTTGTCTAGGACCTTGAGTAACAGGTTACAAGGGGTAGATGAAGCTGCAAGGCGTGCTCAATCCTTTCCCGTGTTGCTGTGTCATGGAAAAGGTAAATCTATGAAATTAAAATGTGCTATTCTTTAAGAATGAAATCAGTAGAATGAAAAGTGTTAAAAGTATTAGTAGAGGATCGATAAAAAATCCTCCATAATGGAAACTATTAAAAATCATGAAGCCAAGAAAATCCAAAAACCAGGGCAAAAAACCAAAATGCATTGAGCCTGCGGAGTCCAGCTAAAGATTCTATCCTAGGTATGACCCTTGAAGCCACAGTTGCAACTAAGACATGGATATGTAAAAACAGCACTTTCAGGTATTAAATTTGAGGGCAAAGAAAGTAAGATGCACCATACTTAAATATACTAGCATATTCAATTCATATAGATCATAAAATACACTAGCATTCCTCCAACCTCCCACATGTAAGGACTGCAAGGGTGTAAACTGTACGAAATTCTTTTCATTGAACCCATAAAAATTTACTAAAGAAACACAGTCAATGATTTTCAATAATGTAAAAACAGCACTTTCAGGTATTAAATTTGAGGGCAAAGAAAGTAAGATGCACCATACTTAAATATACTAGCATATTCAATTCATATAGATCATAAAATACACTAGCATTCCTCCAACCTCCCACATGTAAGGACTGCAAGGGTGTAAACTGTACGAAATTCTTTTCATTGAACCCATAAAAATTTACTAAAGAAACACAGTCAATGATTTTCAATAATGTAAAAATGGTTATTCCAAAGAAAAGTAACCACCCTGTAGTTTAAGTGTTCCCGTGTCTGACCAAGATACACACATAGCATTAGCACATATAGAGAAAAGACTGATGTAAGTTCTGACATTCACCTATATGACTTTGGCTTCTATCAAAGTTGGCAGTAGGCCCTTGTTTGGTTTTGCTTAATTTTTACGTGAAACACATTTTGGACTAAACTATTTTGATAACAAACTTTTCTAAACACAAAAGAAGATTACTTTAATCAAGCACTTCTACTCTATTTTAACATAAATCATTCAAGGGCTGAGAAATACATGGCGACCTAAGTTGGTAATTTGCTATTTCGTTGATGTTCTAAACTCATACTTCATCAAAATACTGCCAGACATTCCTTATTATTTAAACTATATGATTCGTTAACAATTACCATTGGTTAATGTTTAATACCATTTATCTAGGTTGTCTAAAATTTTCCATATATTTAGTTCAAATAATCCATACAATTTCCTTTTATAATATCCCAATTGCTGGATTCCAAGCTCATTTTTGTTAACATTCGAACTATTGGTGACATTTGCACATATATTCTTTCAGGTGACGATGTGGTTCCTTATAAATTTGGTGAGAAATCATCAAAGTCCTTAAGTTCAACTGGATTTCAGGATGTAACTTTTAAATCCTATAATGGGTAATAAACGAAAAGCCCTGTGAAACATTTTGTTCTAGTTTATATAAAATCCTCCTTATCCCTTATTATACTTCAATTTTGTCTCGACTTTTCATAAACAGGCTTGGACATTACACAGTTCCGGAAGAGATGGATGAGGTTTGTGCTTGGCTAACGTCAAAATTGGGCCTTGAGGGAAATACTGCTTAGTTAGCAAGCAAAGGAAGAGAAATGTGAAAAATAATTCTTTCCCTTTTTGGTCCATCATAATTTTAAGTTGTTGCAGATTTGCTTAGATTTATTTATGTTGATGATATGCATAATATATTAACAAACCATTTTTAAACACTTAGGAGGCCTGATGGCATCTTCACGACATGGTACTGTTATTGAAACAAAACATGGTGGTTCTTATAGCATTGTCACGGAATGCTGCTAATATATTATGCTGAAGAGGATTCTAAAATGCTATTTGAAAATGATTTATATATCATGGGGCATTGATCTTCCTTTGAGTGGGATTACTTATATCAGGGGTGCACATTTTTTTTAACGTGTTATAGTATGAAGAGTCAATAGGTTCTATTTTGTTTTTTCTTTGCCGTTCACAATATTCAACTCAAGACTGTTAAAGAAATTGAAACTTTTTTTGGCTCAGACCAACAATGTTTTTTGTATACATGTTTTATTTTGCATAAATTTGAACAAAATCCAATTTAAAATTAATTTCTTGTATTGGATTTTACAATGCAACAAACTTTCAAAATTAGTTTTGTTTTTGATCAAACAGTTTCACACACAGAAAATATGAAAATTGTAATCAAATTATTTTTTTCCTAGATTTTCTAGCAACGAATAATATAGATATAAGTACATTAACTTTGAAAGTTGGTTCTCAGCCACTCAATGGTTAATTAATGGTGTTTCAAATTTCAATGATGTAAACAAGTATTATTTTTTCTGAGGCTTGTAGAGGTCAATTTTTTTCTTTTTACTACACAAAACAGGAGTAGATACCATTGCATCAGATGCATTCATGGAATTATGAATCGTGGCAGCCTTCTACAAGCAACTGCCAAATTCCATTGCATTTTTCATTGAGATTAATGAGAGAAACTTTTCAAGAGGAGAGCTAGATTCGGCATTAGTTACCAGACTTTCACAAATTGCTTTTTTACTTTAATCCCCGAAAACAAACGGGTTTATACACTAGAGAATCATTCGTTACTCAAAAAGTTTCCAGATATGGATGCAATTTGCATAGCTAAGAGCACCAACAGGGCAACAGTCCTTCCAAAAGGGTTGTAATTTACATCTTTCATTAATTGATTCTTGATTGATTATAATTTATGTTAACTATTTATCGAAATTTTTAACAGATTAATTTTTATTTTTTATAAATATTTAAAATATATGATGATGTTGACTTTGATATATTTCATAATAAAAAATTAACGAGTTTCTTAAATTTAATCCATCAATTTATATTATTTTGTTTAATTAATTACATGATTGAGTATTATTTCTTATATTATTTTTAATGTAAAGCTCACTAATGGTGATCTAATGGTAGAAATTTGCGTAATGTTTCCAAAGTTTTAACTTCAAACTCCGTTCTACTTGGGATTAAAGAGAGGAGTCTTCCAACAAGGACAACACATATTCACCATTAGTTACCTGACTTAATTTCACAAATGGCTTTTAGCTTGAATCCCCCCAAAAGATCAGGTTTATACACTCTTAAAGTATCTTTCATTACTCAAAAAAGTTTCCAAATGTGGAAGTAATTTACATGGTTAAGAGCCCCAACAATCCCTCCAGAAATAAAAACCCTGACACGTGAAAAACTAATCCCCCATACACAACCATTGATACTTATATCTAGGATGAACCTGACACAAACCTTAAGGCACTAAATGAACCAATGAATGCAGAAAGCCATTGAAAAATGAGAAATTTTGAGCATCAAGGAGCCTGCAAAATAGATGAACTATCCAAGTGTTTTCTCCCCTCCAACACATTCATGTTTTGGGGCCTCTTTAACAAAAGAGAAGTTATCTGTTCTACCAGCCATAGGTGACAGAAGGCGTTTTTCTTGCTCATCATGATCTAGTCCTGATGCTGATCCACTAGGAGAGGCAGTTGAAAGAGACTCAGTAATTTCATCTTCTGCAAACAGTAACCATGATAAGCAGTGCAAAGTTTACATGTTTTAGAATTTATTTGCATAAACTTCTCCGAAAACATTTATAAGAAAGAAAATATGAAATAAATTTTCATATGAATTAAAAGTAGTTTATACATAAACTAGTTTATAGAAGTTTTCACTTATTACTTTCTATAAAAACTTATTTTTAATTTATGAATAAGTTAGTTTTAATTAATAAAAAAATTATTTCATTTTTTTTTCATATTTTTTTCTTATAAATGTTTTTGCATAAGGTAAACAGACCATTGTGATAAAAAAAAAACAAAAAAAACTAGCATGCATTGGGATAAACATTTTGGTGGAAAAAGTAAATATACGCACCTGAACAATCATGGTATTCAGGTAGCTGTTTAACGGTAGTTACTTGAACACATTCAGGAAGTAGACAGCTGCACAGTGAACCTAAAATTTCCCAAAAAAACTGCACTAAGGATCTCATTGTGTTTCTATAACAATATTCCCGAAAAGTGAGCTACGCACGTTTCTATTCGACTCGGTCAAGAATATTTTCTCAGGTTTAAATCCATTTTTAGTTCCAAAAGTTGGTTGAATGTGTATTTTTAGTCTCTCAAAATTTGTTATTATAAATTTGATTTTCATGGTTTTTAAAATTATGTAATGTTAGTTCATCTATTAACATGTCACTCAAAATTTAAAAGAAAATATTGACATATTTGTAAATGATATTACTTGATAGTGAGTTAGGATCACATAAGAAAATAAAAATATTAAAAATTTAAAAAATATTTTAGCAATTGAAATAAAAAAGAAACAAAATATATATGTCAACATTTTAATTTTTTTTAGTAGTAGTCAACATGATTAAATAATAGCTAAGTTTTTATTTATTATTTTTTTTTATAAATGTTTAGTAATAGTCAAGTGAGTGTCAATCACATGTTCATCAACATTTTTTTACCTAGTTTTTAAGATACCCTTTTACACCATTTTTAATATGTTAGTAAGTATACAAACATTACTTAATTTTGAAAATTAGAGAGGATAAATTTACAATAAATTGTTTCTTAGGCATTTATGCCAAATCATAAGATCCCTTTTAACAAAACAGGACATGTATATAAAGGTGGAGAAAATAAATGTATTAAAAAAAATCTTTTTATGGTCTTACCTAGCCTGGCAAGGCGATTCACCCAACCTGGGATCCGTTTTCCACTCAATCTATGCGAAATATCATCCGTAAAATGATTGCAGTTCTTAGATATAAGGTGATAGGTGTCTCCATGATACTCATTAGCCATGTTCTCAATCAAGGTCCGAAACTCTGAAGGATTCATATTTATTTTTCCCAAAGTAACAGAACATCTGTATACAAATCCAGGGCACTTCCTTGGCTCCACTTCAAACACTCCACTTGCTGGGAAGTCATGGGCACCAAATCCATACTCCTTTCCATGTACTATTCAAGGAGAGACAAGTTTCAAGACACAGAAATGTAGCAACATAAAACATTGTACAACATAAGTAATTGGAAAAACCTTTCTGCAGTTATGAAATTTGCAGAATGATTTTGACAAAATAAAAATAAAAAATCAGTCTTTCCAAACTAGGATACAAAACTATGGAATGCTATAAAAACAAATTCTAAATCCCACTAGATGGTTTGAACATTATATTTTTAAAGAATTTCCCTTTCCTATTTAAACATGGTTTCTCAATTCTAATTTAATAGAAATAGATATTAATTCTTAATTATTAATTTTGAAGGATCAAATATTTTTGAGTTGCCCATAATCTAAACAATCATTTTTGGAGTTTTATAAAAAAAAAATAGCAATCACTTATATATAACAAATCAAACATGTTAACATGCATTCTCATATTTTCCCTTCCCTCTATGGAGAAAATTTGCACTCACAACCAACCACAGGTTCTACATAAAAGATCAAAATGCAATAAGGCTATTCTATTCCTAAAGAAAATTTGTATGGGTACAAATCACATGTATCTTTCACGATAAGTAATTTCATACGACTCAAATACGATGAATATAGACCATAAAACCCTTCTCCTGAATATGTAATCTTATTTTATATAACAACAAATTAAAAAAAAAAAAAAAAAAACACCCCTTTCAGATCATTGAGGCAAATGAAAAAGAGAAACAATTAACGTTATGGAATGATGAATGGAGAAAAAGAATAAGAAAGGGTGGTGGTGGAAAGTGGAAAGAAATTACCTTCAATGCCAGAGTGAAAAATTCCAAATCCAAACCAATAAAGGTAATTGTTGAGAGGGGTGAGATCGTAGACATTTAACACCACACGTGTGGTGTTTTTGTTGTCATTGGCATTGTTATCAGATTTTGAGGTTGAATTGGAGTTGCTCTTCATCCCCATTTTTTCACAGAGATTGATGGATATGCCTTCCTCTCTATGAATTCCTGGGGAAACAACCTTGTGAATCCCAAAACACTAGGGATTAATTAAATTGATTGATTAATTATTTGTTATGAGATTCTCACCAATGAAATAACACATCACAATCTTAGACCAAAATCCGAGAAACCCGGATTTGGCTCTGTAATTCCTTCGTTATTTTTAAATTACAAAATTCAAAGTTAATGTTTGTTGTGCCAGGATGATCTGTCTTTCAGTTTTCACCTATGTAGATGCCACCTGATATTATCTGTCAAAATTTTACGGATTTTATTTTGTGAAAATATATTATCTTATTTAATTATAGTGATTAAAACATTTTTATTGACCGTTTATTCGATTTAAATTCATTGAATAAATTTTTAAATCATTAAATAGATTTGAACTTAATATAATACTAAGATATAAAAATATTTGTTACATATTTTAAAATTTTTAAAAATTTAAAGTATAATTAGTACTGTATTCACGTGCTTATTATCTATAATTATAATTATAATAACCTATATTATTAATAAATGCAATACATTTCTTTTTTCTGATGAACACGTTTTGTTGATATTTTGTCCTTGAGCGACCAAAACGCACTCTTCTCTCATGTTTTTTATTTAGATTTTTTTTCTACATCTTTGTAAATTTATTTTTCAAATATCTAACACCCTATAAAGAACTAGTCAAAATTGTTCAAAGATTCTAATTGTTAATTACTCGCACATATTTAATATTAATTATTATTATTATTATTAGAGGAGGCTTCAAACAACATTGATGTAACTTTTACTAAATATTACACTGCTTAATAACTTTATATTAAATTTGAATTTTGTAAATCCAACCATTGAATTATAACTTTATATCACTTTATATGTTTATATCAAATTTTGTTAAAATTGAACAACAACTTGAAGGTAATCAAAATATTCATATTTTATTATATTTTGAAATGTATATATTACGTCAATTTTGTTTTATAAGAATAAAGTATCAAATCATCTTGAACTAATATAAAATTTTGTATATATGATCTAAGAATAAAGAACTTTCAATTTAACAGTTAGATTTATAAAATTCACATTTAATATAAAATTATTGAGTAGTGTAATACTTAGTAAAAGTTATACCAGTATCGTTTGAACCCTCCTATATATATATTATCAAGATTTAAATATATTTTTATTCTCTTAATTTTAAAATTGTTGTTTTTACATTCTGTAAATTTCAAAAATTTTGTTTTAGTCTCTCAAGTCAATTATATATATAAAAGTGACAAATTGAGATAATAATGTAATTTTAACTAGGTTTAATGTGATCTTTTTACTGATAAAGACACTAGTAGATAGATTTTAGGCGGCAATATTTGATAAATTCTCTAACAAAATTTGAGTATACAAATTGAAACAAGATTTTTTGAAATTACAAGATTAAAAAGACCAATTTTCAATTTGAGGGACTAAAAATAAATTTACCTTAAATTTGATATATTAAAAACATATTTAAGCCCATTATAAATTTATAATAATGTACTCATACTTGCCATGTTAAAAACTAAGTGTTCCCACTCTTTTCTATATTTTTATTTTGTTTAAAAAGTCAAAGTTAATATATTAAGTTTTTGAAGTATTTCTTCACAGTATATATAATACTCTATCTCGTAATAAGAGTCATGTTTGAAGAAAAAATAAATCTTAAAATAAGTGTCATGTTAACTTTTTAATATAATATTATTTTTTTATTTATACGCTTCATAATATTTTTTAGAAAGTGATCAATATTGTATTGTATTGTTTATAGTAAAGAAGATTGATCACAAAATTTCCTTTTCTAACCTATGTAAAACAACCTAAAACCATATTTATTATGAGATAATGAGAGTACTAACTATAGTTAAGTCAAGTTGGTAAAGGAATTAAGGAGTGATGATTGACCTAAATTCATATTATACTACTTTTAAAATGAAGAAAGTTCAAATTTTTTATATGAGATATAGAAAGATATTTTTGAAAGTGTTGAAAATGAGAAAATCATTCAATGTTTTTAAAATATGAAATCTAATAGAGAACAATTTGATATATATATATATATATATATTTCAAAAAAAATGTAAAATTACACATTTAATACCACAAATTTATGTATAAATACTATCTCCACTCTTTAAATTTTTGGATCCGTCATTGCTCATCATATTGAATCCTTAATTTGTTGCTAAGAGGATGATCTAGTGGTTAAAGTTGGATTCTTAGTCTCATTATCGCATTAAATTACAAATATATTAACAAAATATGTTGAATTTAAATATATTTTTAATCTTTATAAATGTGGGTTTTAATTTTAGTTTCTACAACCTTTTTTCTTTATTTTTATCCTCTAAAACTTGAAACATCACAACAATGATGATAACAATTATAATAATAATATATTTTATACACAAGTAGCATAAAAGTATTTTTTCACTTTTAATTTCATATATGCTTTAATTTATTAATCTGATCAATATTTTTTTTAATATATTTTTAATCTCTCAAATTTAAGATAAATTTATTTTTAATTCTTAAAATTAAAAATTATAATTTTTAATTCATGTAATTTTTAAACATATTTACATTTTTTTTATAATGTCAAATAAATTAGACTTAATTGCTTTGGTACAACTCATTATTATTATTATTATCGGGTTTTATTTCATTTGGGTTTACATGCATAAACAAAAAACGATCTATCAAAAATTTTGGACAAGAGATAGACCAAACATAAACCATCTCAATCCAGCTTATATACACATAATTAAGTGTGGAAATTTTACAACGATTTCCTAAAGAGAGGTAGACTCTATATCTTAGATCCGACAGGCTTGTTAAACACGAGACTCTTATGGTAAGAATTTCATTCCTCACGCAATTCGAGACTACTTAAGGAGCTGAATAAAAGAATCCTAGGATAGAGTTGAAAGAGACCAAACTAGCAACATTTTCAGCTCAGAATTAGGTTTTGATACCCTGCTACCTTGGAGAAACCACGCACTAAAAAGAAAGACACTCGTGAATGCACTTTCATGGACATATTTATCCATAATATTAGAGTTTTTGCAGAAATTCTTAAGTGCAACAACACTCAGATTCACACATATATCTTTTTATAATAGTATGATATTCTTCATTTTGTATCTAAATTCTTAAGATTTTGCTTTTGTTTATTTTTTAAAAGGTTTCATATCAATAAAATTATATTTATTTTATAAATTTTTCTTTATCCTCATGATCCACTAATGTAGAATTTTGTTTGTAGTATAACTACATTTGTAATATCACTCCCATGTACTTAAGTCTAGAGGCAGAGATTGAGAAAAATTTTGAGGGGCCAAAATAAAAAAAAATATAAATAAAGTAAATATAATAATTTTAATAATATATTTTTACGGATAATTTTAAACACTTCATAATATTATTTAAATGTTCATTATTTTTAATTATGATATTGAAATACGTAGTTAACGGTCTTTCAATTTTAGTCCTATTAAATTGATATATATATATATATATATAGGGACGGATCCAGGATGTCCATAGTAGGGGTACTTGCCCCCACTTCCATTTGATACATGCATATTTTCTTTATTTTAAAAAAAATATATTTAAAAAATAAAAAATATATTTTAATAAAAGTAACATATATATTTAAATTATCATATGTATAAAATATAAATTTGGAGGAGATATTCATTTATTAGATATTTATCAAATTTTTGAAGGAAATTAATTCTCTTATATGATAAAGAATATTCTTTAATAACGAATCAATTTTTACAAAAAGTTTAATTATACTATATATATATATATCTTAATACTCATATATATAATATAATATGTTAAAAAAAAAAATAAGAAAGATCGGAAGATTTATGTTCTATTTAGAATTGTTACTATAAAATATATTTTAAAATAAATTATCATCTAAAAATACATATTAGATATTAAAAACATGTTTATATCATAATTCATAAATAAATTAAACTTAATTTTTATAAAATTTAACATATTTATTTTTATATTTTTTTATTACTGTTAAATTATTAGAAATTAGGTTTTTAGGATTGTAGTTCTAATCAAATTTATGGCAGATAAATAAGTCATACTTAAGATATATATTTTTTTAAAAATTTATGTTCAAACTTATTAAATTATAATATAATCTAGTATGACCTAATTTATTTTTATCTTTAATTGTAATCGTAGATATAAAAACTTGTAAAAAATAATTATGATATATATTTATACTTTTAAAAGTTATATGTATAATTTTTAATACTACAAATATATTAATAAATATTGTCCCCACTATCTAAAGTTTCTGGATCCGTCACTATATATATATATATATTTGTTTATTGTATTTTTCTTTGACTTTCAAAACTCTCACTTTTAATTCCTTCATTCTATAAATACTCAAACTTTCATCACTAAAATGTTGATTTTCATCCCAAGAAAATTAAAAAGTTTAGTACAAAAAATTTCCATAAAACAGTCGTAAGAAAAATTCACAAGTTCAAGACATACTATGTAAGCTATTTTTTTTTTTCTAGAATGAAGATATAAAAGTCATAAAAAAATTATGGTTTAAAAAATTTAAAACAAAAAATAGTTTTTTATATTACAAATAGGTAATTAATTAAAAAAATTAATTAATAACTAATATATAAATTAAATAGTGTTAATTATTAAATTAGTCATAAGGTGATGTTATAAAAAAGGTATAAAAAAATAGAAAGTTTAAATACAATAATAACGTAAAATTATCTATACAATAATAATAATAATAATAATAATAATAATAATAAATGACTAAAGATGACTTGTTTTGCGATTTTTTTAAAAATATTAAAATTCTACAAACTAAAATTCTCAATATTTTTGAAAGATTCAATTTTATTAGTAATTTAAAATAAATAACTTAAATAATATTTGAAAATATTATAAAACTCGTATTAATGTTACAAATATCATATATGTAATCATTTTGTAAAAATTTAAGTTATTACCATAATTTTGAAAATCAAATCAAACTGGTCGATTAAACTTTGATCGGAAATCAGACCTCAATTGATTTGATTAGTTTTCAAGACATTTTGACAATGAATTAGTCAAAAGTTGGTTAAAATTGGCAAAAAAAAAATCATTCGAATTAGTTTAATTAAAAAATAAT